GCGGGAGAGGGACTGGCGGCCGGCGGCGGGGAGAGCGGAGCGGGCGGCGGCGGGGATTTCTTACCCCCGGCTCTGTCAAACGAAGGGAGCAAATTCCGAATGCAAAGGGGCTTGGGCTCTGATATTCGATTTTTTTTCTAGTTTCAGGGGCCGCTCTGTGCTCTGCAATTAGATTGACACATGTACAACATCCCCAGCCATTCAAGGGGGTTCGCAGGGACACTCCAAAGGGATTTTTTTTTTCCTTTTTCTTTTTTGGGTGGAAGATATTAAAGAGGTATCTGTTGTTTGGCAATTTTGCTAAGTCTGTCTTCATTACTTCAACATTGTGCATTTGCTAATTTGGAAGCCCCTTCCTATTGACAGCTCTGCTCCATACACCTGCAAGCAATTTGCAGAGCTCCAATATAGGAGAATTGCAGAGATGGCAGCTCGCACCTATTTTATTTTTTTTCTTCGCTTTTCTCAATGCACAGCAAATTTGGCTTTCAGTGCGTTATCTCTTTTGTTAATGCAAAAAGATTCCCTGGGCGAAAAAATTGCTCATAATTACCAGAGAGATGGGGAAACTGCATTAGAATAAATAAACCTGAAATTACTGTAATTATGTTGTGTTTGATGGGCTCGGCTTGTAATCAAGAAGAGAATACAGTGAAATGATGCTGACCCTCTTGGGTTTGCAGCTGTACGCGCACTTTGGGGTCTTTTTTTGCAGAAAAGAGTCATTTTGATCATCATTAAGCTGTGTGTAACCTATTTCAGAAGTGTTTGAAAATGAGGGGCACTTTTTTTTTTTTTCCAACAAGAAAAAAAATATATCCCAAAATTACATTTTGCTATTTACAGGCTCATCCATAAGGTTGTGTTTGCGGGGTGACAATTGTTAAAGGTATAATATTCGAAATCAGGACTTAATCATTGTAATGAGGTATTGTTTCAATATAAGCACCTTTGGATTATTCATAGTTTAATTAATATCCTCATTATGAAAATCTTCGAATCAGATATTTGATGAACTACTTGTCAGCAACAAGGCAGAATTAATTAGGCCTGTATTGAGATTAACATTTTCAAATGTACGATTATAATAGACTCTAACTCAAGACCGCCTCGCTGAGAGAAAACTAATAATTTCTCTATTTGAACTGTTAGCAAGACGTTATTGAATTAGGAGAAGCTAAATATGTCTTTAAAGCTGCTTGACCACACCGTTCCCGTCCGGTCAAAGGCGCTTGGTCTCCGGCTGCAGCCGCCGCGGAAGCTGCGCGGGTCTTGGGGGGCTGCGGGGCCGCGGATCCGCCCCGCTCCCGCTCCGCTCGGGGCTTCGGGCTGCTCG